ACACTGATTTTTAATGCTAAAAAACTACGCAGACTGTCCGATATGTCAGTTGTTGATTTTCTACCAGTGTTGTGCCCGAAGGGCTCGGCACAACAAATACCTTAGACTGTAATTGGTGTCAAAGTTGTGCCCGACTCTCAAACTAGAAATAAAACAGTTTAGAAAGATTTTTGTCGTGAAATCAGTGTCGTGCCCGAAGGGTTCCACACAACATCGACATAAATTGAAGTTTAATACATTTGCTGTGCCGAGCCCTTCGGCCACAACACTGATTTTTTATGCAAAAAACGTTGCAAACTGTCCGATATGTCAATTGTTGATTTACTACCAGTGTCGTGCCCGAAGGGCTCGGCACAACAAACACATTAGGCTTTAATCGGTGTCAAAATTGTTCCGAACTCCCAAACTAGAAATATGACAGTTTAGGATTTTTGTCGGATTTTTGTCGTAAAATCAGTGTCGTGCCCGAAGGGTTCGACAGAACATCGACATAAATTAAAGTTTAATGCGTTTGTTGTGCTGAGCCCTTCGGGCACGACACTGATTTTTTATGCCAAAAAACGTTGCAAACTATCCAATATGTCAGTTGGTGATTTCCTACCAGTGTCGTACCCGAAGGGCTCGGCACAACAAACACATTAGACTTTAATAGGTGTGAAAGTTGTGCCGAGCTCTGAAACTAGAACTAAGACAGTTTAGAAGTTCATATCGGACAGATTGAAACGTTTTTTGGCATAAAAAATCAGTGGCTTGCCCGAAGGGCTCGGCACAACATACGGGCACTTGATTGACTTGACGCCTTGATTTTTCATGCAAAAATCTTTCCAAACTGTCCGATTTGCCCGAAACAAAACTGCTAAGCTAAATGCTGGTTGAGTGTGGAAAAGAATGAACTGACGCCTTTTGCGCGTTTCCTTCGGCCGTAAATCAGCTGGGCCCGTCCGAATTTCATTGGTAATGGTGCGACTAAAATTGGAACCCATAAAGAACAAACACATTGTTTGCGCCCAACAACAACGTAGTTAAACGTGGCGATTTAACGGAAAAACGGATCCTTGCCCTGGATGTAAACTGACCCGGCTGGACCATTTGCAATGGGGAAATGGGCGTCGCAGTCTGCACGTGGCCTTAATGGGCACGTTTCACATCAGTCCCWCAAARSACRACTGGTTTTTGGTCGATTTTAGGGTTCAAATCCCCTTAAAATTCAAGCAGCTTTCCGCATGTTGATTAATTAAATTATCWCGGRTTTTGCTKACTGATTGCCGAAGTTTAAAGTGGAAAGTAAACTACGCACGCCTATGGAGGAACAAACGCGCTTTCGATGCCTGTTTGCCAAGTTGTTTGATCACTCCGATTTTAAGATTTAGCATGTCAAGCTTTGAGTGTTGGCTGCTGACTGTGAAAAGTACAAATTCCTACTTGCATGAGATTTTAAGTTAGACAATTTTTAAATTGACCAAACATCTGGATGGGAACTTTCTGGAAAAAAATCTGGCTTTAACGCCATTTGATCACTCCGATTTTAAGAWTTAGCATGTCAAGATTTGAGTGTTGGYTGCTGACTGTGAAAAGTTCAAGTTCCTACTTGCATGARATTTGAAGTTARAAAATTTTTAAAYTGACCAAACATCTGGATGGGAACTTTCTGGWAAARAWTCTGGCTWAAACGCGATTTTATTTAAAATAGCAGTATTTTAAGCTAAAGACTGTGAACATTTCAAGTCGTTTCTCGCATTCATAGGGAAGTTGGGAATTTTTAAAACAGGGCAAACATTAAATATATATCAGAATTGAAACMAGATTTCACCATAAAGATCATACTGCGAAAAWWWCAAGTTGTTGCTTGCTCCGGTTTAGAAGTTGCAAATGTTTAAAAGAGGGCGCACTTTTGATATGAAATTATCACTTCGGGACATTTTTAGAAGTTCAAACTTCACATGAGTGCAATAAACTGGGAAAATTACAGGGTTTTACTTGGCATTGTTGAGAAGTGACAAATTTTTGAATTCTAACTATTCTAAGTTTCTAAGTTTTAACAAGTTTCTCCGAAAATGAGAAAAAATCGGATTTGCATGATAATTATTTACGTTTAGGAAGCTTCATGTGTTTTTCCCTTGGTTGCGAAGTTCAAACACACTTTTGATTGGAAGAAAAATTTGAGACAATCTAAACATTTAACGCTTTGCCTGTTGGCAACAGACTGAAATTTTCAAGCAGCTTCTTTCCGTTGTGGCGAAATTTTTAAGAGAGCGAACTCCTCAGCTAAAATGATCATTTCGACACTCTTTCTTTGAAAAGTCGCAAACATTTTAATTTTATGTCGTTTTCACTACAAATTTTAGCACTTTAAGCCTCACGTGTTGTGAATAGAGTGTGGAATTTTAAAGGCTCTATTTGCTCCTGCTGCAAATTTCCGATTTTTTACAAGAAAGCACGATTTCGAGTTGAAATAAAAGCTCGGAAATCACGTTTGCAAAGCGAGCAAAAATCAGGATTCACATGGGATTTTCATGACAGTCTAAGCATTGGGAGTTTAACGTGTTTTTAATGGACTGTGAAAATGTCAAGTTCCTACTTGAATTGTTAAAAAACTGTGAATCTTTAAAAGAGAGCGCAGTTGTGATGTGAAACTTGTAGCGTGGAAAAATGCATGCAAATGAGTCTCAAAATTATAACTTAGAAATTTCAGATTTCAAGTGATTTCCGTGGGGATTATAGAGTATGAAAATTCCAAGTCTCTATTAGCTCTAGTTGAAAAGTTACGAATTAAAAAAAGCGCACTTCTGAGTTGGAACTCTAATTTTTAAAGCGAGTAAAATTTAGAATTTAATTTGATTCCTGTTGGTAACGCAGTGTGAACGTTTCAAGTCGCTACTTGCCCAACATGAGCAGTTACGAATTTTTGAAGCTACAGCACTTCTGGGTTGAAACAATTATTTTCCTCCCATTTACAAAACGGGCAAAAATCCAGATTTATTCTAGTGTTCATCATATGTTTTCCGCTTTAAGCTTCACATGTTGGCAATAGTTTGTAAATGTCAAGTCGCCACTTGCTCTAGTGTTTTTAAGTGCCCGAATTTTTAAGAGTATTTAGTTCTTCAACGAAGCTCTTTGCTCTCATTATCGAGCGCTTAAAGACTAGAATTCTATCATTTTAATCATCACCTTATGGCAATAAATAGTTAAAATTGCAAGTTGCTACATGTCCTAGTAGAGAAGTTACGATTTTTTAAAAGAGAGAGGGCATCTGCGTTGCTTAGAAAGGTCGCAAATATCAAGTTTTAATTAGGATTTTGTTGAAAATTCCATTAAGATTTAGATCTTGTCGCTTTTACTGTCAAATTTTCAAGTTGCTACTTGTCCTCTTTTGAAAATGACGAGATTTTAGAGCACACTTCCAACAATTATTTTTTGGGGTAAACTGTCTAATGAGGATGATTTTAATAAGAATTTCAAATGAGAATTTATTGTGATAACAATAGATTTTTTACCAATTTAATCTTCACTTTTTCTCAATAGACTGTGATAATTTCAAGTTGCTACTTGGCCTAGTTGGGATGTTACGATTTTTTAAAGGAAGCGGATTTCTAATTTAAATCTATCATTTTGTGACTCGCATTTAAAAAGACCACAATAATCACGATTTAATGCAATATTCATGAAAGTTGTGGAATTTTAAGCTTCGTGTAGTGCCAATAGACTGCACGAAAGTCAAGATGCTACTTGTTCTAATTGAGAAATTATGAATTTTTAAAGAGGTTTTTCACTTTAAGACAATGATTGCCATTTACAAAGGTCGCAGAAATAATGTTTTAATGAGATTGCAATGCAAATATCAGTATATTTAGCTGCTAGTATTGGCTACAGACTGTCAAAATTTCAAGTTGCTACTTGTCCCTGTTGAAAAGTTGCGATTTTTTAAGAACGAGCGGACATCTGCACTGAAGGTTTCATTTTGCGACTAGCTTTTCAACGGTTGCAACGTTCAAGTTTTATTTGGGATTCTACTCAAACTTTCATGGCTTTGAGCTTTAGATGTTGGCTTTGGACTGGCAAATTTTCAAGTTGCTTCTTGTCCTAGTTTGGTAGCTACGAATTTTGAAAAATCACGTTTGGGGGTAAATTTCCAAAACCTTTTTTGAAAGTTGTTTTTGTAAAATTTCTTTGGAAAAATCAGGTTTCATTGACATTTCAATGGAAATGTTTAGCTGCAAATCTTGGCAAACGAGTGTGAAAAGCGCAAGTTGCTACTTGCCCGGGATAGCAAGCTACGATTTTTTAGAAAACAGCGGACATAGAAACAAAGCGTTTAACAAAGGTGGCAAAAATCAAGCTTCAATTGCGATTTCATTGAAAATTTCAAGGTTTTAAGCTTCAAGCGGTGACTCTAAACAAAATAGTTTTGTTTCTAAATAAAAAAACTTTCAAGTTGCTACTTGCCCTAGTTGAGGTACTACAAATTTTCAAATAGAGCGGACTTTGAACTTTAATTTTGAGGCTTATTTTAACAAATGTTGCAAAAATCTGGTTTCGATGGGATTTCGATGGAGATGGCACCACGTTCAGCTGCAAGTGTTGGCTCTTGCAAGTGAAAATTAGAAGTTGCTACTTGCCCTGGATGGAAAGATACGAATTTTTAGAAGAAAGTGGAATTTTACTTAAAGCATTCAGCGTTTTGAGGCTCGCATTTACTCATTGTGAATTGTGCAAAAATGAGGATTAAATGAATAACGAAATATCCGTGAAAAACGTAGCATTTGAAGCTTTGCTTGATAGTAATTTATTGTGAGAATGTCAAGTTGCTGCTGTTCTAGTGGAGCAGTTAAAAACTTTTAAATGAGAATGAAATTTTGCATTTTGAGACAGTGATCGGCCTTTGCAAAGTTCGCAAAAATTAGGTTTTAATGAGATTTCAATGCGAATGTTAGTATATTGAGCTGCAGGCGTTAGCTACAGACTGTGAAAATTTCAAGTAGTTACTTGGCCTAGTAAAGAAGTTACGAATTTTTAAAGAGAGCGCACTTCTAATTTCTAGCAATCATTTTCTGG